TTTTTTTTTGGCCCCCCTGTACATGTTGGGAAAGAATACGAGAGTTTCAGATAGGATTCCTTTGTTTGCGATCCGAAAATTATTGAATCGATTCTGAATTATTGTTAGAACACTTGCCCAAGCCGGAAACTAAGTTCCTGTTCAGCGGGAAAGAGTGCTACCACTATATCCTTAACCCACTCTTCAAAGGTATATGAACGAAGCTTCCACCGTCCCACATTGCAATCATACGCTCTACATTCTGTTCTAGGCTGTGAATTGGTGTTCCAGCAATAATATGCTTGACCGTTTCCTCTTATGTACCTCACAAAAAAATTCTGGAAGGAGTTCTTGTTTCAGATCAGAACACTGGGCAAGTTCCTGTTGATTTTCGTGATTTTTTGGGTAATATTTGCGGTGTGCCACATTAGCATGGCAGGTGAGTGTTTTGTGAAAGCGCATTTTTTTCGATAGTTATGAAATTTAATTTATTTGCTCCACATTTATGCTTACTTCCTACTATCCAATACTTATTACAATTTTTGCTTATTTATTGCAATATTCACTTTTCTTATAGAAGAGTATGCGGTGAGGTCTAATCATTCTTTGGCATGGATGATGTTTCAAAATGGTGCTTTCGAGATTTTTGGCGAAGTGGACGAGGAGGACAAAATAGGTTGATCAATTTTTTTGCTCCATGGCTGTTCTACTACCGACCAGGGTCGGTTCTACCGTTGCGACTTTTCGGAAATTTTTTACGACCCCCCTTTCCAATCAAAAATTTCACGACCCCCCCCCTTCACCACCCTCGCCATCATGGTCGCTGTTTCTATAGTATTTAATTCTGAGACCAGTCGACACACCTAACTCCACCCACTTTTCCCTCCAAAACAGCCGTCGGGCGGACAGAATTTTTCCCATTCCTTCACACTACGCGCCCTAAACTCACCCATGAATTCTAAGATTACATCGAATACGACCCCCCCCACCTGCAAACTTATCAAAATACGATCCCCCTCCCCCGGCGGTACTTGTAGGGAACATAGGATTGACCCTGCTACCGACCATCGTGGTAGCGCATTTAAGCTTGAGGCACATTCCGTAGCTGGGCGGAACCTATGGAAAAAGTAGACTGGCCCCAATGGTGTCCTTTTGGTGGCTGTTGTGGTAGAGACGGTAGTGACTTGGGTCACAAAAATAAGTCTACCCGTACCTCACCTTGGAGGCGGGGTTCACGATTTAAAGAAGCCAACAAGCACCTCCAGTTTCTGAAATCCCTGCTCGCCTTGTGACATGGAATGTGCCTTCAGAAATAACACCCTCTTCTAATATTGTTTCTTTTTTCATACATGAACCAAAGCAAGGGTTTCAGGAACCGTGACCGGTTGTGGCGACATTTCTTGGCGGACAGTGTGGACGGCAAACACGACTGACATGCGGTGCCTTTTTCGTACCGCTCTTATTCCTATTACTGTATTCACCTACATGCTTGTCGCCAGCATCATGCTGGTGAACCTGCTCACTGCCCTTTTGTCGTGAGTTTTCCACATTTTCGCTCATTTCTTTCTCTATTATTTCCGTGACCTTTAATACGGTGTGTGACATTCATCGATATCTTTACCTCTCTCAGTTCTTCATGCAATGAAACATAATAGAATCAGAGACATTCCGTATAAGTTCACGTGTTTCACGACTTAACACACTGACGACAGCGTGACACAGTAACGTGTCCCACTTTGCGCACCTCGTGGGACATTGTGACGCGGTAACGCGTCCCACCCAAGTCATTCCTTTTTCTTGCGCTTACGCGACTTTCCCAAGGTCTTCGTGTCCGTTCTCGTTGCAACTATTGCATACTTACTATAACAGACCAACCACAATAGGACACCAACCGAAAGGCCAATATTCGTAATGTCTATTACGTCCTTTTCATTAACGTAAACATGTTGATAAAAAGGTATAATGTATGGAATACGAAGTTATTCGATGGGAAAATTTGTTTTTTCATGGCCTTAACACGTCATTTCGGTCGAACTTCCATTACTGTAACTCCCGATAAGTTAGACAGATCGAACATTATTGAAAACACTTCATCGCATCTAAGTATTGCGTATTTACAGCTCAAAATCCATGGATTTGGTGTGCGGCGGCGGCGCTCGCAAAATCGCTCTGGTCCCACGCGGTGCAAAAACCCAAAACGCGCGATGTCGTCAACGTGTTAAAGAATTGAACAACTGATGAGTGCGTGGCTAGATCCCAAGCGCTAGATCCTTCTCTTGGCAAGTGACTGATTGACTCTACATCCTAGAAAATCAAGTATTCCCATGTCTTCCCAAAAAAAGTTCCAATGAATTTTTTGAATTTTTATATTTTTTTTTCGGATATTCTTTTCTTCCGCCAACATTCCTCGTGCTCTAACTTCAC